CTGTATGGCTGTGATCAACTTACTTAACCTCTCTGGGCCTCACATTCCTTTTTTGAAAAATGCGTGGGTAGGACTTAAGATTCCTTCCATCTCTAAAATTCTTTTATTCTATATGGTAACACATGCCACAAAGTATCTTTTGTGACCAGAATTAGTCTGTGATTTCCTAGCTCAAGTTTTCCTTTTGCCCTCTTTGAACGTTAAACCAAATATGAACAAGAAGCAATAACATTTTGTCACACCCAACAAATTGCCCTTCCACAGAATGACCTTTGGCGGTCAGGCCACCCATGGCAGTTTCTAAATCCAAATGCGGTGGTATGACCAACTTGTGAGGTGGCAGGCTGCCATCCAAAAGGATGGAAATGGTTGTAGGCAGCCAAAATTCTTGGCTGGTACATTTTTAATAAACATAGAAAATAAGAACAGCATTTCCCACTTGGATTGCTTAATTTGGTGCCCATACCATTGGAACATTTGCTGTTAGGATAAAGATGATGTGATATACCACTTATTTAGCGCAGGATGGATGAACTTTCACAAATGAGAAGTAGGTTATGGAGTCATCTGTAAGGAATTTTTATCCTTGTTTCTTGTCTCTGGCAAGAGGCAGTTTGAGTCATTACAGCAGTATCTCCACCCCTTCTGGCCCTTTCTAAGAGTTTTCCCTGAAACATAAGCTCTGTTGGGTTTACTGTATTGCTATGAATGGACTGAGGCAAACTGGTGTGACTTCATTGTGGTTGAATATGTCTTATTAATACTTTTCCAAGATGGTTCAATATGACTTAATACTTTTTCCAAGAGAAAAGCCACCACAGCAAATGTTCTTTGGTTAATCTGGAAAGTAATACTTCAGGTGCAAGTATTTTAACATTTTTTGGTTTTGGTGGCTGGCTGGTAAGGGGATCTGAACCATGAGGTGCAAGTATTTTAAACTACAGTGAGTAATTTATGTTAAGACAATGCACCCCATAATAGCTATGATTTTTAATCATGCCTATTTCACTAACTCATCCAGTTACTTGACCTCTATATTTCCCTGTCTCTACTTGTAATGGGGCAACAAGGACATTTGACCGGCAAGGGTGTTTTCTCTCCAGTGCTTGGAGATCCTTAAACAAAATGCTCTTTGTGATGGTAAGCTCTAATTAGATATGTGGGTGGAAATTAGCGTTCTGCAAGTACACCACGTTTAAGGCAGAGGCACCGTGTTTTTACTACCTGAGGCCACCCTGGTCCTGTGCCATAGCTCCAAGTCACTGCTTCTACAGAGCTGTTGGTCTGAAGCTGCAGGTTCCTCAAAGAAAATAACTCGGTATTGAGCTCTGAAACCAGGAAGCTTTTTATAGCTAAAACTGGGCTGCACAGTTTTCTCACAGACAAGTCAGGCATTGCTCAAGGATGACTATAACAGTTCACTTTTCATTGGGAAGGGTGCATTTTTCCAACCTTCGTAACCATCATTTCAATTGTACTCGCATCTTAAAACAAAGCACCAAAACTTTTGAATGGATCCCCGGAGTCATGGTAGATCCTCCGCATTTTTCCAACCTTCGTAACCATCATTTCAATTGTACCCGCATCTTAAAACAAAGCACCAAAACTTTTGAATGGATCCCCGGAGTCATGGTAGATCCTCCATTTTGGATCAGATCCTTCAGTCATAGGAATCCTGTAGCCACACACCTTTCCCATTCCAGCCACCTTTTCTATAGAAAATGCATCCTCCTCCTGGGGACTACATAAGGGCTGCAACATGTCCCGTTTAACATTTTATTTGATTATTGCATTTGTTTTTGTATACCGAAAAACTCCCCCAAGGATCAATTCTGGCTTCCTGGGATCCTCCCCCATCCCCCCGCACTTGGCTTTGAGTTTTCCTTACGCGTCTCTTACATCCACCCCTTAAAGGAGGTAATTTCCAGACCATGTGCAGGACGGAACATTTCCAACGAGCATTCGCTCCCACCCCTCCCCGCCCCCCGCCCGGGATTCCCTTTTCGCGAGTGACGACAGAAAGCGGGTCCCCGGCTGCTTTTTTCTCCTCTTCCACGCTCGCGGCCGCACACGGTTCCGCGTGCATCCCCCGGCGACCGCGTGTCCCCGCCAGCCGGCTGGGTTCGTCTGGGGATGAAGTCATCCCCGTCCCGAGGGTGCGTGTCACCTCCGTCAGCCTGGACCGCACGCTGGGACTCCTCGCGAAGCCCCGGAGCGCGGCGAACAATGACGACTGTAGTTTCCATGCCCCGTCCCCTCCCCCGGGCCCCGGAGGGTCGCGAGCAGGCAGCAGCGC